CAGGTGTGGGGTTGCAGGTGTGTGGTTGCAGGGGGTGTGAGGTTGCAGGAGGTGTGGGGTTGCAGTAGGTGTGGGGTTGCAGGGGGTGTGGGGTTGCAGGGGGTGTTGGGTTGCAGTAGGTGTGGGGTTGCAGGTGTGGGGTTGCAGGTGTGGGGGTTGCAGTAGGTGTGGGGTTGCAGGGGGTGTTGGGTTGCAGTAGGTGTGGGGTTGCAGGGGGTGTTGGGTTGCAGTAGGTGTGGGGTTGCAGGGGGTGTGGGGTTGCAGGTGTGGGGGTTGCAGGAGGTGTGGGGTTGCAGGGGGTGTGGGGTTGCAGGGGGGGTGTGGGGTGTCAGGGGGGTTGGGGTTGCAGGAGGTGTGGGCTTGCAGGTGTGGGGTTGCAGGGGGTGTGAGGTGGCAGGAGGTGTGGGGTTGCAGGGGGTGTGGGGTTGCAGGGGGTGTGGGGTTGCAGGGGGTGTGGGGTTGCAGGGGGTGTGGGGTGTCAGGGAGTGTGGGGTTGCAGGGGGTGTGGGGTTGCAGGTGTGGGGTTGCAGGGGGTGTGAGGTTGCAGGAGGTGTGGGGTTTCAGGGGGTGTGGGGTGTCAGGGAGTGTGGGGTTGCAGGGGGTGTGGGGTTGCAGGGGGTGTGGGGTGTCAGGGAGTGTGGGGTTGCAGGGGGTGTGGGGTTGCAGGGGGTGTTGGGTTGCAGTAGGTGTGGGGTGTCAGGGGGTGTGGGGTTGCAGGGGGGTGTGGGGTTGCAGGGGGGTGTGGGGTGTCAGGGGGTGTGGGGTTGCAGGGGGTGTGGGGTTGCAGGGGTGCAGGGGGGGGGGTCAGGGGGTGTGGGGTTGCAGGGGGTGTGGGGTGTCAGGGGGTGTGGGGTTGCAGGGGGTGTGGGGTGTCAGGGGGTGTGGGGTTGCAGGAGGTGTGGGGTTGCAGGGGGTGTGGGGTGTCAGAGGGTGTGGGGTTGCAGGGGGTGTTGGGTTGCAGGAGGTGTGGGGTGTCAGAAGGTGTGGGGTTTCAGGGGGTGTGGGGTTGCAGGGGGTGTGGGGTTGCAGGGGGTGTGGGGTTACAGGGGGTGTGGGGTTGCAGTGGGTGTGGGGTTGCAGGGGGTGTGGGGTTGCAGGGGGTGTGGGGTGTCAGAGGGTGTGGGGTTACAGGGGGTGTGGGGTTGCAGGGGGTGTTGGGTTGCAGGGGGTGTGGGGTTGCAGGGGGTGTGGGGTTGCAGGAGGTGTGGGGTGTCAGAGGGTGTGGGGTTGCAGGGGGTGTGGGGTTGCAGGGGGTGTGGGGTGTCAGAGGGTGTGGGGTTGCAGTGGGTGTGGGGTTGCAGGGGGTGTGGGGTGTCAGAGGGTGTGGGGTTGCAGGGGTGTGGGGTTGCAGGGGGTGTGGGGTTGCAGGTGTGGGGTTGCAGGAGGTGTGGGGTGTCAGAGGGTGTGGGGTTACAGGGGGTGTGGGGTTGCAGGGGGTGTGGGGTTGCAGGGGGTGTGGGGTGTCAGAGGGTGTGGGGTTACAGGGGGTGTGGGGTTGCAGGGGTGTTGGGTTGCAGTAGGTGTGGGGTGTCAGGGGGTGTGGGATTGCAGGGGGGTGTGGGGTTGCAGGGGGGTGTGGGGTGTCAGGGGGTGTGGGGTTGCAGGGGGTGTGGGGTTGCAGGGGGTGTGGGGTGTCAGGGGGTGTGGGATTGCAGGAGGTGTGGGGTTGCAGGAAGGTGTGGGGTTGCAGGTGTGGGGTGTCAGGGGGTGTGGGGTTGCAGGAGGTGTGGGGTTTCAGGGGGTGTGGGGTGTCAGGGGGTGTGGGGTTGCAGGAGGTGTGGGGTTGCAGGGGGTGTAGGGTGTCAGGGGGTGTGGGGTTGCAGGAGGTGTGGGGTTGCAAGGGGTGTAGGGTGTCAGGGGGTGTGGGGTGTCAGGAGGTGTGGGGTGTCAGGGGGTGTGGGGTTGCAGGAGGTGTAGGGTTGCAGGGGGTGTGGGGTTGCAGGGGGTGTGGAGTTGCAGGGGGTGTGGGGTTGCAGGGGGTGTAGGGTTGCAGGAGGTGTGGGATGTCAGGGGGTGTGAGGTTGCAGGAGGTGTGGGGTTGCAGGGGGTGTAGGGTGTCAGGGGGTGTGGGGTGTCAGGAGGTGTGGGGTTGCAGGAGGTGTGGGGTTGCAGGAAGTGTGGGGTGTCAGGGGGTGTAGGGTTGCAGGGGGTGTAGGGTTGCAGGGGGTGTGGGGTTGCAGGAGGTGTAGGGTGTCAGGGGGTGTGGGGTTGCAGGGGGTGTGGGGTTGCAGGGGGTGTGGGGTGTCAGAGGGTGTTGGGTTGCAGGGGGTGTTGGGTTGCAGGGGGTGTGGGGTGGGGTTGCAGGAGGTGTGGGGTTGCAGGAGGTGTGGGGTTGCAGGGGGTGTGGGGTTGCAGGGGGTGTGGGGTGTCGGAGGGTGTGGGGTTGCAGGGGGTGTTGGGTTGCAGGGGGTGTTGGGTTGCAGGGGGTGTGGGGTTGCAGGGGGTGTGGGGTTGCAGGGGGTGTGGGGTGTCAGGGGGTGTGGGGTTGCAGGGGGTGTGGGGTTGCAGGGGGTGTGGGGTGTCAGGGGGTGTGGGGTTGCAGGGGGTGTGGGGTTGCAGGGGGTGTTGGGTTGCAGTAGGTGTGGGTGTGTCAGGGGGTGTGGGGTTGCAGGGGGGTGTGGGGTTGCAGGGGGGTGTGGGGTGTCAGGGGGTGTGGGGTTGCAGGGGGTGTGGGGTTGCAGGGGGTGTGGGGTGTCAGGGGGTGTGGGGTTGCAGGGGGTGTGGGGTGTCAGGGGGTGTGGGGTTGCAGGAGGTGTGGGGTTGCAGGGGGTGTGGGGTGTCAGAGGGTGTGGGGTTGCAGGGGGTGTTGGGTTGCAGGGGGTGTGGGGTGTCAGGGGGTGTGAGGTTGCAGGGGGTGTGGGGTTGCAGGAGGTGTGGGGTTGCAGGAGGTGTGGGGTTGCAGGGGGTGTGGGGTTGCAGGAGGTGTGGGGTTGCAGGAGGTGTGGGGTTGCAGGAGGTGTAGGGTGTCAGGGGGTGTGGGGTGTCAGGAGGTGTGGGGTTGCAGGAGGTGTGGGGTTGCAGGAAGTGTGGGGTGTCAGGGGGTGTGGGGTTGCAGGGGTTGTAGGGTTGCAGGGGGTGTGGGATGTCAGGGGGTGTGAGGTTGCAGGGGGTGTGGGGTTGCAGGAGGTGAGGGGTTGCAGGAGGTGTAGGGTGTCAGGGGGTGTGGGGTTTCAGGGGGTGTGGGGTTTCAGGAGGTGTGGGGTTGCAGGGGGTGTGGGGTTGCAGGAGGTGTGGGGTTGCAGGAGGTGTGGGGTTGCAGGAGGTGTAGGGTGTCAGGGGGTGTGGAGTGTCAGGAGGTGTGGGGTTGCAGGAGGTGTGGGGTTGCAGGAAGTGTGGGGTGTCAGGGGGTGTGGGGTTGCAGGGGTTGTAGGGTTGCAGGGGGTGTGGGATGTCAGGGGGTGTGAGGTTGCAGGGGGTGTGGGGTTGCAGGAGGTGTGGGGTTGCAGGAGGTGTAGGGTGTCAGGGGGTGTGGGGTTTCAGGGGGTGTGGGGTTTCAGGAGGTGTGGGGTTGCAGGGGGTGTGGGGTTGCAGGAGGTGTGGGGTTGCAGGAGGTGTAGGGTGTCAGGGGGTGTGGGGTTTCAGGGGGTGTGGGGTTGCAGGAGGTGTGGGGTTTCAGGGGGTGTGGGGTTGCAGGGGGTGTGGGGTTGCAGGGGGTGTGGGGTTGCAGGAGGTGTGGGGTTGCAAGAGGGGTGGGGTGTCAGGGGGTTAAGAGAGTGACCACGAGTTAAGTGCCAGTGGCCGAAACGAAGCTTATCTAGAGCCATTTATTACCACCTATTACGGTGGTAGGAAGAAGGCCATTCTAGGGAACAGGTCACACTTGAGAGTGCGCAGTTTGTTATTCATAATTAATTAATTCAAGAGCCCTGTGATCCATAGTGACTAAAGGCCTGGCAATTTGGGAACTTTGATATGAATCTGCTATGAAGCCACATCGTGGTGAGGATAGCTGCAGTAAACACAGCTCCATTAAACACAACATAAGAGAAGAGAAACCCTCAAAAACACAGTAACTTAAAGGAAAGAATTTCTCAGTGGAGAATAACAGACTGTTTACTGACCAGGAGGAACATTCTGGTTTCTCACAATGTAACATTGAAGTGACAGTGGAGCCAAACTTACGTGCATTCATGTCTATTTTTGAAGTAATGTCCTGGTTCCTGAGTAAGAATTTGAGCAAGTAATGCTGGTCTGGGGAGGCCAGAGGACACGACTGCTCAGTAATGCTGGTCTGGGGAGGCCAGAAGACACGACTGCTCAGTAATGCTGGTCTGGGGAAGCCAGACGTGAACACGCGCATGACGTGGCTTGCTTTATGTCTTTTTGCTCTCGTATTGGGATCCTGTATGATATTTAGGACCTTATGAATATTCTGTGATATAGTTGGTGCTGTACAGTCTTCCTGGCTTTGTGCCTTCTTTTGGAATTTTTTTATTTACCTCTCATCTTAGGAAAGAATTAGGACACATGTCAAGATATAAGTTGGTAATTCAACAAATCCAAAATAATGGACAGGTAATGGGTTTTATATCTTAGTGGTCGTTTCCGCATAAAACTGTGGCATTCAATGGGAAATTTCCCCACCGTTCATTTCCATCCACCCAGTCATCAAACCAGTACTTCTCAGTATCTTTCATGAATCTGACCTTCTCCAGCTTACAGGCATTGTTTTGGGTTCAGTACACGGACAGTTCTCATTACGCATGCTCTACTCTCTTTCCTACCTTGTTCATATATGTTATACCTTTCTTGAGTGTACAAATGTGATTAAACACTACTTCTATTTGGAGGTATCATTAGGAATGTACATAGAAGTTTTGTCCATCGATAAATTTGTAATATTTTCCTTTCTCTATCATATTTCATTACAAATTTTTATAATTTTAGCTTGCATTTTTGTATTCTTAAAATTTGTGAAGTTGGCTCTGTTTTCACTGAAACATTACTATGACTAGATTTTCTCCAAGAAAATTTATAATATAATGCATGTCATATTCCAGGGTAACATGGCTGAGTACACTTATGGTGGTCGTCTGAGTGCCGCAGGAAGTCGTGTGGTCGTCTATTGGTTCTGCTCACTTGATGGTGGCAAGCCAGTCGTCTGTATGAAGTCGTGCATATGCATCGACGGCCGCCAGCTACGCTCTCTCGATCCCAGAAGAGCTCGAACCCTGCTGAAAAAGAAAAAGTTTAGTGTAGTCAGGCTACACAGATGTGCTCAGAAGTATGACTATGCAATTGAAATTCGGAACACAGAAAGCACATGTGATTGTAATCTTCACAACCAGAGATACGCCCAAGGTAATGGGCATATCCAGAAGTGTTTTGGAATCCCTATTGATTACAATGATGACAATGAAACCTACTCCGTGGGTTGTGGACCCTTTGTGTTTACTTTACACTCTGATGAGTTTGCAGATTTAGATATCACTCCTCAGTGTGTACGAACTTTTTCAACATGTATCAGTTTCCAAATGTCCTCTTGCATTGACACCTACTCCAGGACATTCTACATAAGCAACTGTGAAGTGGAAACCTCCCTGATGCCTGACTCATTCTCTAGAGGTTTTGAGACGATTCCAAAAGTTTATAATCACAGTGTTGAGCTCATGTCAAACAATGATTTTCTTCCTCCCACTTCAACGAGAAACATTGTCTCTTTGCCTAGTAAAACCTGTGAGGCTGTCTTTCCCTGGTCAGACTTGCCGGTCTCCACCATAAAGGCCGCCCCACTAACCATCTCACAACCCAGGTCAGGGCCAATACTCACTCCTCTAGAGGCCGCCCCACCAACCATCTCACAACCCAGGTCAGGGCCAATACTCACTCCTCTAGAGGCCGCCCCACCAACCATCTCACAACCCAGGTCAGGGCCAATACTCACTCCTCTAGAGGCCGCCCCACCAACCATCTCACAACCCAGGTCAGGGCCAATACTCACTCGTGCAGAGGCAAACTCTGGTCTCCAGCCCAACTGTGCATCATGTACACGCAGGAGAGTTTACAACTTGAGGCCACTTGCTGGACGAGAGTGTACGTGTGCCCCTCAAACACCAGCTGATTATGTGTATATTCAGATGACCTTGTCAGACCTCACTATAGACGACCTTAAACCAACTATTCCATCAGGTGGAAGAATAATGTCAATAGTCACTTGTGGTTGATTAGCTCATAATTGTAAAATCTATAAAATTGTTTTCTGCTGAATTATATATATATATATATATATATATATATATATATATATATATATATATATATATATATATATATATATATATATATATATATATATATATATATATATATATATATATATATATATATATATATATATATATAAATATATATAACTGATATATATATATATATATATATATATATATATATATATATATATATATATATATATATTATATATATATATATATATATATATATATATATATATATATATATATATATATATATAACTGAAAACTCACACCCCAGAAGTGACTCGAACCCATACTCCCAGAAGCAACGCAACTGGTATGTACAAGACGCCTTAATCGGCGTCTTGTACGGATTAAGGCGTCTTGTACATACCAGTTGCGTTGCTTCTGGGAGTATGGGTTCGAGTCACTTCTGGGGTGTGAGTTTTCAGTTGCATATGTCCTGGGGACCATTCAGGCTTGTTCGCATATATATATATATATATATATATATATATATATATATATATATATATATATATATATATATATATATATATATATATATACACATATATATACATATATATACATATATATACATATATAAATAAACATTCTTTTAGATAAATTAAATTCTTTTAAACATGTATCATTGAATATGACCGCATATTCTGTATTTACTATCTTCTGATTTAGGGCTTCTATCCCTTTATTTTCTTAGCATCAGGGCTTAGCTAAAATAGGAGTTCTTCAAAACTTATTTTCGTAATTTCAAGGTGAAAAAAAGAAGTGAATTACTATAGAATGTATTACACTTATTTATACAATTTGCACAACGTTTCGAGCCTCCATGGTTCATTTTCAAGTGAAAAGAATTTTTCAGGACTGGTTGATTTTATACCCGCACTGGGTCAGGTGATAAGACAATAAAGGTGAAAACATGGGGGGATACACGAGGGATAAATGGGGGGTGAAACATAAGAACATAAGAATAGAGGTAACTGCAGAAGGCCTATTGGCCCATACGAGGCAGCTCCTATCTACATACAAAGATTAATCAAGAATCTTTACCCACCATGAGAGTAAGGACAAGACCAGAACATAACGATGCCAACACAGAAGACACTGTTCAACATAACAGGACAATTACACTTGATTAATCTTTGTATGTAGATAGGAGCTGCCTCGTATGGGCCAATAGGCCTTCCGCAGTTGCCTTTATTTTTATGTTCTTATGTAAAACAAAATTGAGTTACTGAGTTCTTGTTTTCGTCCTCTGTCTTAGTTTACTCCTTTGGATTCGATACTAACAGTGCAATCTCCCTGAAATTTAAACCAGCTGTATTTCAGACATAGTAAAATAGATCAAAACAATTACCAAGTTCCAGCTCTTGTCCTCTGCCTTACTTTACTCATACAATTCCGTTATTAACTGATCAAGTTCCCTGAAATTTAAACCCGCTATATTTCTGACATAGTAAATAAGGTCAAAGATAGTTATAAATTGCCAACTCCCATCCTCCACCGTATTTCAACGTTCATCAAACTTAGTATTTCAGATCAAGACCCTCTCCTGCGTATCACTGTGTAACGGCTGCGCTAGCAGCCCTGATCCTCTCTTTCCTTCCCCCTCCTCCCTCCCCCCCCCCTCCGCCCATTTGTCTAAAGTCAAGGGCCCACTAGGTTGACCTGAGGGTGGTCTTCCTCGCTTGGTCCTCTTGGTACCTATTCCAACGGTAATTCTCTCTCCATCCACCACTCAAATTCCCTCTCTTCCCCCTCTCCCGGTTCCTCACCATCCCAGGCGGGTCAAGTGTCCCTACCTGTATCTTAGAGGGACAGGTTTGGAACATGTTTCATCCGTTTCTGTAAACATTTGATTTTATACCCGCACTGGGTCAGGTGATAAGACAATAAAGGTGAAAACATGGGGGGATACACTAGGGATAAATGGGGGGGGGGGGGTGAAACATAAGAACATAAGAATAGAGGTAACTGCAGACGCTGTGGACCAGGTCTGGGGTGGTCCAACTACAAAGAGGCCTTGTCCCTTCGAGTAGCTGGGTAGAGCTGACTTAAATCTATGAGAATTTCATGTACCTTTCAGGCAGATCTGGAAGGTGATTGGCGGTAGATAAGTGCCAAACCCTTATTGGCCCTTGAGAGCCAGACCTCAGTTCTAGTTTTAAATGGTTGGCTGTAGTCAAAATTAAGGGAGGAGCTCCAGTGCTGTATTAGTTGTGGGAGGAGCTATCCTTCCACTAGTAAGTGGGTGAAACAAATTTCAGTAGTGTGTCCTGGGAGTGCTTTGGGGTGGGAACTCGGTCAGACATCAAGGGGCTGAGGGCAGCCATCAACATCTTTGGCGAAATTTGCAGGATTAAGGTAAAGTGTTCTTGAGTATTAATGTACATCATTGAGTCAGACCATAGCCTCTTAGGGTGTATTTATAGCTAGGATATATCTAAATTCATTTCAATATACGTGTTTTAATTAAATAAAGTGTACTAAGGTATTTGTGTTTAGTTATCTGTTCCTTTTTGAGTAATACTGAATCATTCATACGTTTGGAAATTCCCCCTGGGTTCTCCTCTATTTCCTGGATAGTAAAGTTGCCCTTGAAGCTAAATTAATCAAATAAAATTCAATAATTTACTCCCCAAGCATTTATATTACCAAGATTTTTAATGCCCTTCAGTTCATTATTATTGACTTCTGTCCTTCCTGGGAGGTCGGTAATCTAGACACATTCAGGTACCAGGAGGGTGGTGGCAGTGTTTTGTTAAGTCTTTATTCATTACTTTAAAATATAATGATCCCCTTCTCCTGTGGTTTCTTCCTGCATTTAATATTTCAGCTTAATAATTAGCGGTAGTTTAGTGAAGGTCACTGAGTTGCTAGCAGGGTTGAGCTGGGGTGTCGAGCGAGTAAAGGAGGAAAGGCAATCGGGTTATTGCAACTGTATCAAAATACACATGACCTCACCTTCAATACTCTTGTTTACTTACCTGTGTAAATAACCACTCACCTGTTAATTATCACACGATCATAACACACACCTTATCTCCCCTCCATGCCCCCACACCTGTCTGCTCACCGTCATGTTCATAGCAAACGGCACTATCCGTTTGTATGCGCTGCGTTTCATACGCCAGCTGTAGGTAAACAACAGAGAGCGTGCAGGACGCCCGCCAAGCTTGGACGCTGCTAGTCATGGAGTGCAGTGCCAACAACGGTTCTGCCAGTGTTATTAACAGTGATGAGGTACACAAGGTTCAGGGAGGACACCGTGATCATAGGAGGTATCATGGCAAATCCAACAGCAATTTCAGCCAAGGACTACATTACAACTGGAGTCAAGGAACAAGACTCAATCAGTAACAACGACCCACATCAGAGGGTGTCAACAATTTTTTTTTTACAATTGTGGAGGAGACTTCCCACACCAAGGTAATCCTTGTCCTACATCACAACAGGTAAGTGCTATGAGTGTGGAAAATTAGGTAATTTTGGTGCTATGTGTCGTTCCGCACTAAAGAAACCACAGTCAGTGAATAAAAGTACTGTATGAGGATCAGGTCATAGGGGACGAGGTGACAAACACAATATTGCCCCTCATGTCCAGAATGTTAATAATGTACAAGACAACATTCCATTACAACCAGTCTCAGATGACAGTGACTATGATCATACTTATGGAGTACAAGGAATCACAAAATGGAATAATCTTCCAAACAACCCAGAGACTATAGTATACATTGTTGGTATTTGTCTCAAAGTTCTCATTGACACTGGATCAAACATTGACACCATTGCTGAGTGCCACCATGAGAAATTAAAAAAACTATTCCAGAGCTTGAGAACTACAATGGTAAAGCGTGGTTGATTGTTGGTTGATGGTGTTCTGGGAGTTCTTCTACTCCCAAAGCCCGGCCCGAGGCCAGACTTGACTTGTGAGAGTTTGGTCCACTAGGCTGTTGCTTGAAGCGGCCCGCAGGCCCACATACCCACCACAACCCGGTTGGTCCGGCACTCCTTGAAGGAAACAATCTAGTTTCCTCTTGAAGATGTCACGGTTCTCCTGGAGAGATGTCTCCTGCTCTGAAAGGGGAAGTGAGTAATGAGCAGTACTCAAGACGAGACAACACAAGTGATTTGAAGAGCACAACCATTGTGATGGGATCTCTGGACTTGAAGGTTTTCGTAATCCATCCTATCATTTTTCTGGCTGACGCAATATTTGCTTGGTTATGCTCCCTAAACGTTAGATCGTCGGACATCATTATTCCCAAATCCTTGACATGCTGTTTTCCTACTATGGGCAGATTTGATTGTGTTTTGTACCCTGTATTATGTTTAAGATCCTCATTTTTGCCGTATCTGAGTACCTGGAATTTATCACCGTTAAACATTATGTTATTTTCTGCTGCCCAGTCGAAAACTTTGTTAATATCTGTTTGTAGTTTATCAATGTCTTCAGCAGAGGTAATTTTCATGCTGATTTTTGTATCATCTGCAAAGGATGACACGAAGCTGTGACTTGTGTTTTTGTCTATATCTGATATGAGAATAAGGAACAGCAGTGGTGCAAGGACTGTATCTTGAGGTACAGAGCTTTTAACTGCGCTCGGACTCGATTTTACTTGATTGACTGTTACTCTTTGTGTTCTGTTCAACAGGAAATTGAGTATCCAGCGTCCTACTTTACCAGTTATACCCATTGACCTCATTTTGTGTGCAATCACTCCATGGTCACATTTGTCGAATGCCTTTGCAAAATCTGTGTATACGACATCTGCATTCTGTTTTTCCTCTAATGCCTCAGTGATTTTGTCATAGTGGTCAAGTAGCTGTGAGAGGCATAATCTTCCTGCTCTAAATCCATATTGGCCTGGGTTGTGGAGGTCATTGGTTTCCATGAATCTAGTGACCTGACTCCTGATCACTCTCTCAAATACTTTTATTATGTGGGACGTTAGTGCAACTGGTCTATAGCCACTGCCTATGCTTCAAAGGTAGCCTTGCCAGT